CCTTGGGCGACGCAACGAGGGGGTCCGGGGGTGGGTGGGGGGGTGCGCGCGCGCGCACCTACCCACATGGATCGATGAACACCCAGCGCGTGTTTCCTGGCGTTGCCCTCGCCTCCATTCCGCTCGAGAAGTAATAAAGTTATGCTGTTAAAACGCACGCACGCACACACACACACACACTCTACAACCCACATTGCGCTTTCTAGGACGCTACTTTGGCCCAGCTTCTCCTGTCAGGCTGCTCGTTCGCGACCGCCAAACTACAGTAGGAGAGAGCAGGACTCGAGGGAAGACTTTCCCCAAACTAAGCGGTCACGAGTCGCAAGTCCCCCGTTTCTCGAAAGCAAGCAAGAAAGCTCGAGCAAGCCAAGGGTTGGGCGCGGAAGGAAGAATCGGAAGACTCCGGCGCGAGCTCTCTCCCGTGTTTGTTTGTTCTCGTTTGAACCCTCGGGAAGGCACCGGGAGGGTTCGGCTTGAACCTGAAAGGCTAGAAATCGCTTAAAAGCGGGGCAATATTAACTTACTTGTTCGTGCATTAAACAAACCAGATCTATTTAAATATAGCTCCCTCGCTGACCTCTCCATAGTCTACCTATTAAGAATGCAATCAAGATAATAACAAACATTGTTTATTCATAAAGGCTCGGGGATTACGTTACGACAAGAGTCACTTTCGAAAGAGAACACACAGCGGGCAAACGTGCACCCTCCAGCCCGCCGGCGGGGGTCTCTCGCTCCCAGACATCACAAGACAGGTAGAAGAGAAGAAGCAACACCCCCCCCAACTCACCTCTCGCTTCTTTTTGGTACGATTTGTTTTGTGTGTTGCTTTAAAAAAAAACACGGCGCCTACTTGTCAAAGTCACCACGCCACATAAAGACGCCTCGATGGGACGCACCCACCGCGACCAGAGTGAGGTGGAAGGAAGAATATGCAATTTTTTAAAAAAGGATTAAAAAAAAAGTAATGAAAAAGTAATCCCTCACTGGGTCGGGTCCGCTTCCGTGACGGGGCGGTCTCCTTTCCCTCGTCCCGTTCCCCCCCTCTCCCCCCCCGCTCTTCGTTTATGCTCCAAATGCGGATTAAATTATTGATAGTGGAAATTGCGTGGCCGAGGTAATAATGGCATCCCCTGATTGAGCCGCTCCCTTTGATCTCGGTCGGGGACGGAGAGATGTCATACTCGCTGGCGAGGAGGGTTCGCTTCCCGCCGGATCGGATCAGCCCCCCTCCCTCCTCTCTCGCTCTCTCCCGCGCTGCCTGTGAATGGAGTACGTGGGGAAGAGGCATCCACGCGCGAGGCGTTCGGCGGGGCTCTCCACTCTTGACGCGGGTGTCATCTGACACCCCGCCAGCCTCTCACAAAGCCACACACGGCGGCGGGGAGGACGACGAGGAGGCGCAAGCCCGTCCGGAGGCTCTCCCCTCGCCTTCCTCACGTTCGCCAGCTGCCCCCCCCGGCGCGGGGGCGCGGGGGGGGGGGGCTGGCTGGCTGGCTGCCTCCACTTGTCTCAGCTGCTCCTTAAACACAGCAAAGAGGAGGAGGAGGAAAGGAGGTCCCCGTTTCACTCGAGGGCAGGTTTGTGCCAAAGATTTCGTGCGTATCTGTTGAAGCAAAAAACCTTTTTTTTTCTTTCTTTTTTTGAAAGCCTTAAAGGCTGATTTCAGGGGCTTTTAATTTGAAGTTGAGAAAGAGCCAAAACGTTTGTTCCGGTGTGCTCAAGTCATGGGAGCGTGTCTGTTATCCCCAGGGCGCATCATCCCTTTTTGGATTGAAACATCTGCATCCATGGAGAGGAAGGGAAGACACAGTGTCCCCCCTCCCAGTTGGCCAGCGAGACTGGTAGGGATGGGTGGCCAATGGAGAGGAAGCCACAGTCATTTGTCGGTGATGCGGCTAATTCTGCTTTTGTTACCTGTTGTTCTCTCTTCTAATGACAAGACAGCACGAATAGACCTGGCTGAAGTGGAGGACCGCCTCTCATGATGGTTCTGGAGGCCTCCTCTCCTACCTCATTCTGTGTTGGGAGAAATAGTGTGGTCCCCCTTTCTGGCTGGATAGCTCAGTGGTTTAGATATCTAGTTTGATGCTCCACAGTGCCAGCCTGAGTGGCATTGAGCAAAGCTACACAGTCCCAGGGTGCCCCCAGAAGAAGGGAGGGTACTCAAAATACTTCTGAGTATTCTGTACCTGGAAAACCTCCCAGAACTGACTTGATGCTGCTTATTATTACTACTGTCATTTACCATCCTTTCTATCATAGGTGGGGCAGGGTTCCCCACTTGCTATAATGGACCAGTCTTTACTGGGACACTGGAGATATTAGGAGTTTAATATATCAAAGCCCAGCTCTAAGTAAACCCAGGTTCTTTTGTCCAGACTTCACATTCTCTTTAAAATACGATTGAAATGAGTGGGCAATATTCCTTAGATTTCAGGAGGAGGAGGAGGAAGAGGAAAAAAGCTGAAAGCACCCATTCGGCCACCTACCTAACACTGACTTGTGCTGCTCAGCTAATTAAAGCACCCATGCTTACAAAGTGATCAAGAACATCTTTGTTCAGTCTGCTGCCTCTCCTAAATGCCCCAGGTAAACCTACAGAAAGTGTTCTTACTACAGCTCACTTAAACATGACTACCTTTAGAATTGAGGGATTTCCTTGCTTTTCAGCATATTTGTGACAAATGGAAATTTATCAATGGAGCTGTGATGATGTGTAATGCTTCACCTGTTAAAAATCTGCCTATCTTGATGTAAAAGAACATACTAGAAGGCCTGAAAATGGAAAGATGGGGGAGGTATTTTTTCCTGAAGTCTGCACAGAGGAGGGACCATTTGACTCCTTGTTTCTATACTTTGGCAAAAAAGATGGGTGAATACTTTGCATATAATTTAAATTATGCCTCTGAAAAGGAACAGATTCTGGGCTATAAGAACAGAAGTCTGTTTTTTTCCCCCAAAAGGCAGGAATGAAAGTGGAGAAAAGTCTGCTGATGTTGACTAGACAAAGATACTTTCTCATTTGGCCCCACATTTTCCGTGACTTGATGATGGCCATTTCAGACATGAACACACCAGTGCACCAGGCAAAGTTTTGAGCCCTGGGAAGGCACACCAGAACTGCAATACTTGGGAAGTAAATGCTCTTGACCCCAGGTTTCATACCCTCCATGGAGGCTCCCTGCTTCAGTGTCAAGAGTCTAAACCGAACCATGAGGAAGCATGGCAGAAGACAAAAAGGCCCCAAGAAAGGCATTTTAACCTGAAATAGATAGATTATAGATAGATGATATACAGGGCAATGCAAAGAGACAATGCAGGTTGTAATCTAACAAACATGGGAGATGCCAGGTTGCAAAAGGCTAAATCAAGGACATTTCCCAGTCAACTGATATGGAAAAGATTTTGGACTACAACTTCCATTATCCCTTCCCCCGACCAATATACTGGCTGGGGCTTCTAGAAGCTTGAGGCTGAAATATCCGGAGGATCAACCATTCCCTGCTGTACCCCTGGTAATACAAAATATCACTTCATACATGGCCACTGAAGCTGGGATAAGTGAAAATAGGCAGGTAGGTGGGAAGGAAGTTGAAAGGCAAGATTGGGTGAACCAGATGGGATGAACTAGCATATTAATGGTCTTTACTAGAGATGAGTATGAAGTATTTCATGCTCCTTCAATCATAAGTTGTCTGCAGCAGCACAGCTGCCACGTGTCCCCCCCCCCAGTTCACCCACTGACCTGCCAGCATGCACTGCTCTTTCCCTCCTGGTCATGCAAGCTTCCAGTCCAGGCAGGAGCCCAGACTTCCCTTCTTCACCTCTTCCAGCAGCTGGCCACTCAAAGGCAATGCTGCAGGAATCCCTGCCCCGATTTCTTATCTGAGTGGTCAGCTGTTGGAGGAGGCAGAGAAGGGAAGTCCAGACTCCTGCCCAAACTGGAAGATCACACGATAGAAAGAGAAAGAGCATTGTGCACCAGCAGGTATGTGGGTGAGCCAGCAGGGAGGAAGGGGGGAAAGGAACATGTGGCAACTGTGTTGTCTGTCATAAGCAGACAACTTATGATGAAGCTCACTGAACAGACTTGTGTTTAAACTTAAGAAGCTTTAAAAGTAATGAAATCACTGTTCCAGGTCAGGAAATATACCAAGAGAGGGGAGGAAGTAGCTCTCTCACACGCCTGAGTAGTCATATGCAGGGCAGCCCTACCATAAGGTGAGGTGAACCAGCTGTTTTTAGAGACTAAAGTGGGTGAAGGTGCCACTTGGTGCTCCATTTCAGGTCAAACCAGCTGTTTTTAGAGACTTTGCCTAAAGTGGGTGGAAGGTGCCACTTGGTGCTCCATTTCAGGTAGCAAAATGTCTTGGTTGAGCAACATCATCCAGGTAATGGATACCAAGTACAAGAAGAGATTGCTTTTAAAGGATCAAGATGCCTCCTAGATTAGTTCAATGTGAAGTCTTCCACTACAAGTCTTATAAGATGGTATGAGCAAGAAACAGAACCATGTGTTTCTGTTTTCTTTCTGGAATCTTACATCCAAGTAATGGTTGCTAGCCTCAAAATTGGTCTAGTCAATGGACCCCTTTAGGTTGTATTGTCTTCTCTCCATGGTACCCTTCCCAGTGCATTAGTCTAGAACTCCCATCATCATGAGATACCATGGACAGGACAAAAGCAACTTGGGGCTAATGGGAGTCATAGACATCCATGTTTGGAAGGTGCTGGTGTGGGGACTTTGGCTCAAGTTTGATTGGCTGCAGGTCTCCAAGATTTTAAGATAACATATTTCCCTACCATGTGACCTGAGATCCCTTAACTGGAGTTCCCAAGGACTGAATACGTATGTGGTCTTTCTGCAGAGAAGCCACTCCACTATCTCTTTCCTTTAAGTGTATGATGACAGAATCATAGCAGACTAGAGCTGGAAGGGACTCCAGAGGTTACTGAGTCCAGACCACTTCCAAAGCACAAAGTTTGTACCTAAAGCATATCTGATAGATGGTCATCCAAACTGTTTACACACTTACAGTGCTGAAAAATCCAACAGCTTACAAGGCAATCCATTCCATTGCCAAATGGCTCTCACTGTTAGGAGGTTCTGCCTAATATTGAGTTTAACTCTCCTTTCTTGTAGTTTAAATCCATTTCCTTGGATTCTACTCTTTGGAGCTACAGAAAACAAGCTTGCTTCATCTTGCTTGTGACAGTCCTTCAGATATTTGAAGATGGTCAGCATATTGCTTCTCAGTCTTCTCTTCACAAGACTAAAAATGCCCAAGTCACTCGACCATTCATTGTACAGCTTGGTTCCCAAATGCTTTAGCATCTGGACATGTTCCACCTGCTCAGTATCCTTCTTAAACTGTGGTGCTCAGAACTGGGCACAGTATTCCAAATGCAGTATGACCAATGCAGAATAGAGCGGCACTATTTCTTCCTTGATTTAGACACTCTTGATCTGTTGATCCGTGATGTAGGAGAATGTCTGGTGAGGGTGTGAGAAAGGGCCTTTTTGGTGGTTGCTCCCAGACTGTGGAACTCTTTTCAATGGAGGTTAGATTGACTCTCTTCCTGTAGTCCTCAAGCCTGCAGGCAAAGACCTTATTATTGAAGTTACTGGCTTTCTGGACAAGCAAAGTTGCAACAGATGGAACTGCACTTTTCTTTTAATCAATGTGTTTTCAGATAGCTTTTTTGTTCAATTGTATTATAATATTATGACTTGTTTAACTTTGCTTTAAAGTGATATCTTTTGTGATTTTTACCTGTATCTGTTAATCTTGTGAGCTACCTTGAATCACAGCTTTCAGGGTAGGGAAGAGGTGGGATAGAAATCAAAGTACATATACGTACAATAATTAGACACTCTTAAATTTCCACCATTTTCAGGGAAAAGCAAGATTTCATTAGTTAAAAATAAACACTTCCTCCTATTGAAAGAGTTGCTTCCCATCTACTTATAACATTTAGGATTTTCTCTTTAAAAAGAAAAACCAAGCCATAAACCATAAATAAAATTTTCCTTACTAGCTTTACAACCATCTGTTTGGTTAATGTGACTTGATCCCAGCCTCATTTTCTGAGAAGAAAAGGTCAAGGGGAAAAAAAATGAGAGAGAAAGCTAGATTCCCATTTCATCTTGTTGTCAGGAAACCTACGTTCATCCTGGATTATATGAATAAGAGTGATGTCAATACATTCAGGGTTTTGACAAGAATATATTTTTATTAATATCTTTAACTGGCTGAGGTCACACATGATATTACTAGCAGCTTTTCAT